TGTGTGACCTGTGCATCAGGCATGACAGTTGTCCCTTAAAATTCATCTAGTTTCACCTTCTAGGGCTTTAGGAACAGAGCAGGTTTTGGTCTTAGTTGGAGACTCGTAGCCAAATTTTAGAGGAAATTAGCAGAATTCTGCATCTAGTCCTGTCTACAGCTAGATAACAAGAACTTGAAAACAATGCACAGAGCAGCAACACCACCTATAGTCCCACATCCTAAGAAGGCTGAGAGGGAAGGATCACTTGCACCCAGGAGTTGTAGCCCACTGGGCAACATAGCAAGAGCCTATCTCTTAAAAAAAAAATAGTGATTTGACCACATAGGAATCTCAAATTTAAAAACCTCTTGAAACCCAGGCAAAGTGGCTCCCACCTGTAATCCTAGCACTTTGGGAGGCCAAGGCAAGAGGATCACTTGAGCCCAGGATTTTGAGACCAGCCTGAACAACATAGCAAGATCCCACCTCTACAAAAACAAAAAAATTAGCCAGGCATGGTGGCACACACCTGTAGTCCCAGCTACTCAGGAGGCTTGAGCCCAGGAGTTTGAGGTTGCAATGAGCTGTGATGACACCACTGTACAGCAGCCTGGGCAACAGAGTGAGATCCTATCTCAAAAAAAAACAACTTCTTGAGCCAAACCAAGCAGACTTTAGATTTTATTTCCAGTCTTAAGGTTCCTGGGCATGCCTGGAAATAATAATTTTAATATACTCATTGTAAGGCTGGGAACCCCTAAACTCAAGACATTCTATGCACATTCTCAAATATGACATTTCAGTCAAAGTCTTGGTAGTACAGTGTTTCCAATTGTATCCTGTTGAGAGAGCAAATTTTTATTGAACTTATGCAAATAACCATATTGCCATAAGAATACTCATGAATAGTTTCTGAATTTTGGATTAAGTGGGGAGAAAAAGGAAATGTCTTTATCTTTGTTCACAAAAGTATACTTTACCAAACTGCTGTACACAAAAGTAGCTTAAGAGAGCAATTTCCTTAAATCTAGAAAACAAAACATTAAGAACCAACAATGTTTCAAGTAAAAGTCATAAAACCATTATTTTCATCAGTTCCTTAGTTTCATGTAATCAATTTTTGTTCTGCACGTTCTTAATTAGCAGTTTCACAAACCCATCAGTTTCTTCATTGGCGTTCTGAAAATTTTTATTTAGTCCATTGGTCTTAAAGTTATTAGAAAACTGTATTTAAGAGTGCTTGATAGGGTCGGCATAGTGGCACATGCCTGTAATCCCGGCACTTTGGGAGGCTGAGGCAGGAGGATTGCTTGAGGGCCAGAAGTTCAAGACCAACCTGAGCAAGAGCAAGACCCCTGTGTCTATAAAAAATAGAAAACTTATTCAGGCATGGTGGTGCACACCTGTCGTCCCAGGTACTCGGGAGGCTGAGGCAGGAGGATTGCTTGAGCCCAGGAGTTTGGGGTTGCAGTTAGCTATGATGATGCCACTGCACTCTAGCCCGGGTGATAGAGCCAGACCTTGTCTCAAAAAAAGAGTACGTGTTAGAGTCTTTTCTGTGAGTCTGATTGCTGATGCCTTTAGAGAAGAATTCAAAACAGTAACTATGGAAGATAGAGACTTAGAATAGCCATGGTTAAGAATCTGATGGAAATTAATTATAATCAATAATGGACAAGGAAATTTGGTTATTTCTGTAGCATGTGATATAATAATCACGATGATGACCCATGACATACTAGATTTCTAAGAGTTTTATACAATTTTGGAGCATTCATATCAAGAACATTCCCATAAATGTAATTGAAAGAAGATCTAGCAACACTTATCATTTGACAATGTTTTCTATACAATTTACAAATAAGCCTAATCATTTAATATCTATACAAGATGAGAGATACATTGTTTGAGGCTCTCTAGGGACCTAACTTGAAAACCCCAAAGTTAATTCTAGGTCAAAAAGATTAATTTAGAAGTTTGACCCTGGGGAAGCCTACCAAAGATGTCAAAGTTTCAA